GGCCACCTTTTCCCTCCTCTTATTTTATTTTTTAAACCTGTTTTAGGCGGGGGATGGGCTCAGTCGCTGAGGGATTTCCTCCCTCCCTCCCTCCAATGAATGTAACCCTGATGATAATGATGATGGTTTGTCTGTCTCTCTGTTTGTGTGTTTAGAAGGCATACAGTGTGAGTTTGTTTATGTACTTCACTTTTTTCCTCATTTTGTCGCTTAGGGCGACCCTGTGAATGAGCCAGCGATCCCCAGAAAGAATTGCCCTGTCAGAATGGCCTCAAGAGCCCCTGATTCAAATCAAATAAATAAATAAATAATATATAGGGCAGGGGTTACCCAGATGTGCTTGGACTACGACCTGGGCTGGCCAGGATTTCTGGCTAGTTTTGAGTCCAAGAACACCTGGGGACCCAAAGTTGGGAACCACTGCCTTCAAGAGTCAACCAATCCAATATTCTCATATTTGGTCTTCCTCTTTTCCTGCTGCCTTCCACTTTTCCCATCATTAGGGTCTTTTTCGGAGAATCCTGCCTTCTCATAATGGAGGGCAGCCTCAGTTCCAACATATTTGCTTCCACAGATAGTTCAGGCTTGATTTTTGATCGAGCGCCCGCTTGCTTGTTTTTCAGGGAGTGCAGGGCACCTGCAAAACAAGACCACACTTTTTTCCCAGTAAGGGGGCTTGCTTTAGTGTTAAAGCAAGTGATGCTAACAGCCCATTAGGTTTTTGCTTTTTAAAAAATAAACATGCACTAGTAATTGAAAGCACATTAATTGATTAATAAGCATTTCAAACTTTTAAAAACACACTTAGGGTGGAAAAAAAAACACACAACATGGTTCAGGGTCTTAGTCTTAATTATTTAAAGCTTGCCTGCAGAGAGGGAAGAATAAAAGGGAGAAGGTCAACCTAACCTTCCCAGGGAGAGCATTTCACAGCCTGTGAGCAGCCACAGAGAAGGCCCTCTTTTGTGTCCTCATCAAACATGCCTATAATGAAAATTGGACCTAGAGAAGGACCTCCTTTGAGGTTCATAAGAGCCAGAGAGGTTATTTATTAACTCCAGTAGACATTAATAATTGCTAAATGTGCAGTTAAATGAAAATAAGGTTATGCCAAAGGAAAAATAAATCCATCCGCTTTGGAAGTCATACAAGACTTCTTTATTCATGGTGAATGTACAAATATCTTCCATTAAAGTTATCGTACGCATTGTGTCTTGGCTGTAATGTAGTTTTTTAGTTTTTTAAAAAATCTGTTTTACTACGTTCACACTGTGAACATAATTTAAAAGATGATTTGCATGAAGCTTGGTATCATTATGCAATGTTGTGTAATTGTAACAGAGTTCTAGAAGAGCTCCCTGCCCCAAGGAGCTTGATACCTGAACCAGCTAAGATGAGGCAGGAATGCTGTCCTTATGGTTAACTAAAAGCATGGTTTCTTAATTTGCATCACTTAGAAGCACTTTTATCAAGGTTTCATATAAATTTTGTGTTACACAAATAATTGAATTTTCTGCCGTGCTTAATTGTTGTTTATACAGTGGTGCCTCGCATAACGATTTTAATTGGTTCAAAAAAAACGTTATGCGAAACATCGTTATGCGAAACGCCATTTTCCATAGGAATGCATTGGAAACCGGTTAATCCGTTCCAATAGGCACGGATTGCCGT